ATTTAATCACTCCCCAACAAAACCTCCCCCATACTATTATCTTTTGTTCCCAACTTTATTTAAACAAATGCATTAGATTAATGGTACATTGGTACTTCCTGACAGTCCACTCAAGTTAACCCTCTTTTTCCAAGTTTTGAAATCCCCAAATTACCCCTGAAACCCATGTGATTCACTGTCCTACCCCAAACCCCTTAAGTGCTGGATACAGACTTTGATCAACAACCTATTCAAACCTACTCATTCACTAAACTGAATCCAACTAGTTACAACAGCTACAACCAATTCAAATCAGCTAGTAATTCAAGATACTAAATCAGATGGCGTTTAGAATGAAACCTAAAAGTTCAGGGCAGCATATATTGAACTAACTATAAATGGGGAAACAATCATATTTAAACTCAGCAAAACAAGATGGACTGAGATCAACCTGACCAGCATATGCCCTAAACAAATTTGGAGTGCAAAAGTAGGGAACAACCAGCAGAGTTTCAAAAAGGGGGTTGACTAATTCAGGCTGAACAAACGAACCATAAATTCAGCTCAATGAACTGAAAACAACCACAGGCTCAAATCTGAACTCAAATATTACCCAGGAAACCATTTTAACACAACATTCAGAACACAAACGAGGCAGGAGGGGTCATAGCCAAGAATGAACTAAACATCAGACTAATTATCATACTACTCTATCATTCAAACATATCAGACTAATCGACATCACATTACAGCATATAACAAATGACAATAAGCAGAAATGATAATAAAATTGGATCTAATAAAAGGTTTGATGGGGCAAAATGGGATCAATCAAACGAGGCTAAATTATAACCACCTAAACAACAATTAGACGTAACACAAAGAACAGAAGAGGAGGAAAGGAGTACCTTAAACAAATACAAGACTAGACGAACCCAGGTTGAACACTTGACTCGAATCTTTTGAGGTCGAAGGGACCTTAATCGAGTGTTCTCAACTGAGAACACTTCGACTAAGGTCCATTGGACACCCAAATTTCTCCCCTTCAGACTGATTCCAGCTTTTGGTTTTCTAGGGTTCTTGGTTCGATTTTAGGGTTCGAACGGTTCCAACCAGGTCTGAAAGGAAACCAGTGTGTCTCAGGTATGAGGGAGGTCAGGGGATGCCAGGGTGTGAGTTTAGGGTGGATTGGGGTATGTCCGGGCTTTGCTCGAATCTTTAAACAAGGGTTCGAGAAGCTCGAAGAAGATTCGATGCAAACGGGTACTGGTGTTGGATTGGGGGTGGTTAGATGATCTAAGGGTGTTAAT